AACGGATTTTGCTCATTTCTAGTATGTGAATGAATAAGGACTGGCCCCAAAACATATCACACGCGTGCAAATTAGGTAGATTTTGGCAATTTCACTATGCATTTCAGTGTCTGCCTACGGTCAACGATAACTCAAGAACCGTTTGACCCACATGTTTCAAATTGCATACAGTTGTTACTCCTATGGGATAGATTTGAACGTCCTATTTGGGAGCACACAAGTCGACCTATTTTCGAGCCACGTCCACTTTTTGGCAAAAATGGAAATGGCCATCTAGATTCATTCGATTTTGTTAAATTTTGGTATATGAATGTGTAAGGCTAGCCCCAAAACAGTTGTTACTCTTATGGGAGAGATGACAACGTCCTATTACGTTTATTTTGTCGAACTGGTTAACAACTCTACAATTATACCTATATACATGTAATATTGTGTTTTAGATTCTTCGTTACAGTAATTTGACTGGAATATTTTATTGTTTTTATTTGCGCGATATTCGAAAACCAAACTGGCGATGATTTAGGCGTAGTGCCATCTCTCGTCAAGATTTCAGACTTTCAGATCTGAAACATTTATTTTCGCATCAAAACTTATGCATATATCATTATCAAGAGTATATAATGGGAGATATGCTATATAATGGGAGTTCTCTCATATATACTTTTGCTTTATATATCCCCCTCCCTCTTCTATCACACCCAAGGTGAGCTACAGTGTCATTGACACTTTCATTAATATAGTTGCTACTCTGTGTTAGTATAATTTATACAGTGTGCAATGCATTCTTTGCCAATTATACTATCTCTTTGGAAATGACTTTTTATAGGTAAAAAAAGCAAGTTTCGGTATCGCTTCAGGTAGTGTCATACTGAAGCGTAGCAATAATGAAGCTCAAGAAAGTCTCACCACCTTCAATGAGAAAGCAGCAGAGATAGTAAGGTAAGAACACGTCTGGCAGAATTAAGTTTCTCGTTAATGCGAATGAGATTATAATGTAACATGTTCACACAAATCTAAACTATTATTTTAGAAAAAAAAATTAGTGGTGTTGCACAGTGCTGAATTCATAAGAGTTCACATAACGTTCCTTAATAAAAATTTATCTTTATGTCTGCATTTACTAATAAGTTCGTTCCTCTTGTTCAGTGTTGCGGTCTCAGGTTTGCACAATATGTAGAACTTATTATTAAACGAACAATAGAACACATTATGCATGATGTTTTTATACTGCTCGTGATGTTCTAAATAGATCACTCTGTATTAGGCACTGATGAGTATGGAGCCTTGGCTCCATACGAAACAGTTCTGTGTGCAATAAACAGAGTCAAAATTACTACCGTGTCCGTATAACTTTATATATATATTTATACTAGCTGCGGGTACCCGCTGCGCTGGGTAAAATCGTGCTACTAATTCATAGTACTAATAATGGGACAGAATAGGAACATTGGGTAAAAATCGACAATAACATTGCAAACAATATTAATATTTAGAAATGAGTGTAATAAGATAATAAGCATGGGAAAAACGAAAAAACTGTTACGTATGACATTTATATGACAGCACAACCGAACTTAGAACCCTTGGGACATAATAGTAATATGGTGTAAATGACAAAAAGTTATTATAAGAGCATGTAGGAATGGGTTGGACTTTTCATTTGAAAGCCTCTTGATAAAGAATGTTTTTCGTCTTATTCTCTATTTGCACCAACGCCAGGAATCTCTACATGGGGAGCTCAAGAGTTGGAGTGTACAGCTAGGTATCCATTGTGAGATCGTAGCATGAATAAAAGGAATATAGTATCAGGAGCTAATAATGACAAATTTGTCATTATTAGCTGCTCATAGTATAGATAGAGACACGTAACCATGCACATTGAAATGAAGAAATTTTCCTACTGAATCATAAACTGCATAGCTTTCGAATGGTACAATGCATTCTGAGATCGTAGCATCTGAACTGAACCTCTGAGCTGAGTGAGTAAGTAGTAGTACCTCTGAACTGGTGAAACTGGTGCTGGTTGTGGTGTGTTTTAGTATTGGTTTCGGTTTCACAATACCAGCAGCCGGATGAGGTGAGGGAATCAATTTTTCTCTGTGTGGCAGCACTGTACAGTCAGTGCTGACATTGTGTGAAGATTCACGAATTGACGGGTTTTTCACGGCTTTTTCGGTGAGTTTAACGGTTTGACAGGTTTTTTTCATCTAGGAACACTCCCCGGGTACAAGAGATGGCCCTGTGAAAATTGCATCCAGATCGCTTGGGCGGTTTGGCCGCCTATAGGGAAGATACATACATACATACATAGATACATACAAACTCAAATATATATTAGACTAGCTGCGGGTACCCGCTGCGCTGGGTAAAATCGTGCTACTAATTCATACTACTAATAATTGGACACAATAGGAACATTGGGTAAAAATCGACAATATAACATTGCACACAATATACGGTTCTAGGACAAATACCCCCCGAGGGGGGACGGGGAAAAAGACGAGAGGAGTAGAGAGAGGGGGAGAGGGAGAGAGAGAGGACAGAGAGAGGCAGAGGGAGAGAGGAGCGGAGCATGAGACGACGGGGAAAGGAAGAGAGACGAGAAAGAGAAGGAGAGAGATGAGAGAGAGGACGAGAGACGAGAGAGATGAGAGGAGAGAGAGAGAGGATGAGAGAGAGAGAGAGAGACTGCCAATAGTAAAGTAGGCATGGTTTATCTGTGATAACAGAAAACAATAGCAATGTTATATCTACTCTCATGAACTCTAGTATATGTTTATGACAAGGTAAGGCACCTCTTCCCAGAATACGGTGATGGCTCCAGGCTGCTCAATTGTTTCTGTGATCTGCACAGGTCCCTGTGGGCTGACAGTGCCGTAGTTGTTGATATGTGACGTTAGCTTGTTGATCCATGTGTCATTGAATGATATAGAGATGCAGGCAACATCAGACAGGCTTGGTACTTCAGGAAGACTTTAGAAGATAAAAGCAACAAGCAGATCGTGAATTTGTGATAAAAACTGCTTAAAGGATACATTTCACCAGGGCTCGAATTAACCGGAGCTCGCGGCACGACGGCAATTGCCAGTTTCGGTGGCCCTATGCCCAATACCGTACGTGCCCCTGAATCCACCGACCGCACGGCCAAGTTCAGCTGCTTGCCTTCCTTGTGTTAATGCGTCGGCCTGCATAATACTTACGCCTAGGTTTCGTTTTTAGTCGAGTCAAAACACGTGCGCGTGTGTGCTGTAGTAGATGCACATGGAATCGAGCCGTTAAAAAGCGATTAGGTCGGCAGGAGGGAATAATTAACAGCATCGGCAAATTATTGCCGCTCCTAGATAGCCGGCGGCATGTAAAAATTTCTATGGTTACTGTACTTCATGCACGGAGGGGGTACCAGGGGGGGACGCTCCCGGGTTTTACAGGGCCTGGTAGCTTACATTTGGGGCGCATATTGTTTTTGGCTACATTAAGCAAGACCCGATGTTGATGTTACTAATTTGTTATGAGTCTTACCTCTTATTTTACAGAAAGGTGCCTTTGGCCTTGCTCAAATTTTGGGATTGCTTGGTGCCTTTTAAAATTGCCTACTGCTGTGCCCTCCATTTTAAGAGAAAATTCAAGGGCATTTCTCACATTGCCCAAAAAAATGCCTTAGCCGCTTGCTCGTCGTTATTCGGAGCCCTGATTCACCGATATAGTTGCTGTATTAGTGTAGAGTACAACATGGTGTTTGGGACCCGGAGCTTACAATGTCTGCAGGCAGGGGGCAGATATACAGGGAGAGAGGTGGTTGGGGTGATGTCGTTGGTTTTGGCGGTGTCACGGCGAAGATCAACTAGTTTTTGTCGAAAGCGCCATCGCCTTTTCGTCAGCCCCCAGTCTTCGACAGTTACCGATAACGATTCTGGTTAGGTTCGTATGTTTGAGTTCGAAGACGCACCCGGATGAGGGTACGACATTTGCTTACGACCACCTAAAATATCATTTTATGATTCTCTTGCCAAAAATAGATCACGATTTTAGATTATAAACGCTGTTACTAACAAGGCCTAAAAATATCATTACCCAAAACAGGTGGAATTAACACAGTAAACTTGGTACTATTTGCAACCGCACATTTACAGATTTAGGAAGAGAAAGGATTGCCCCAAACTATGCTAAGGGGGGGGGGTCATGCTGGTTATGCTTCCTCGAATTTATGTCAGTATGCGCTTGGTATATCTTTGTCAATCGAATAGAAAACCAGCAACATTTTGTTTGGCTGGAGTGCGCACGTCTATAGTTGTTTTCTATTTAGGATTGTTATGATGGGATGTGATTTCCTCTCGTTTTAAAGCAATGGGCAAAGAATTTTTGGGGTTGAGATTTATAGATTTACCATTGATTCACTAATTAGGGGGCATTGTCAATCAATCCAGGGTTACTTGAATTTTTGATGTTGCCATAATTTTAATAATGCCCCTATTTTTACTTTGCATTTATCATTATATATACTTTTTTAGCTGGCGGCCGAGGTACCCGCTGCGG